ATTGTGATGGTCTAGAATCCTTAGTAAATCCTAACCCTAGTAAATGATTTATATATAAATGTGTGTATATATGTATATGTATATATACACACACATATATATATAACAATCAAGGTAGTTATAGTAAATATAAATAATTAATATTTCCATTCCCTTCCAATTCAGCTACAACCTCAGGAGATCAGCCCACCTCCCACTGCCAACCTGGATCGTTCAAATGACAAAGTGTATGAGAATGTGACAGGATTGGTTAAAGCTGTGATTGAGATGTCCAATAGGATTCAGCCTGCAGCACCAGAGGAGTACGTGCCCATGGTCAAGGTAGGTGGCAAAGATAGAATAAAACCCAAAGTCATCTTGACTTTCCCACTGACTCCATCAGTGCTGTAAAATGTGAGTGGAACACTGATGTTAAATATGTGTGTGTGACAGGAGGTTGGTCTGGCCCTGAGGACTCTGCTGGCAACAGTAGATGAGACGATCCCCGTGCTGCCAGCCAGCACACACAGAGAGGTAAACACACACACACAAATGAACCACAACTTTGGAAAAGTGAAAGCAATTCAAGTGAAAAACGTGTTGTTTTTACAGAATGATCACCTACTGATTTGTCTTTGTGTCATCACAGATTGAAATGGCACAGAAATTGTTGAACTCTGATCTGGCAGAGTTAATTTCAAAGATGAAGTTGGCCCAGCAGTACGTCATGACCAGGTTGGTATTTGTACATACAAACCCACATCAGCTTCACTCACTGTCTCACTTATCCTCTTGAGGCACATATGAACTAATTTAGCCATCCTCACTGGTCGCAGAAGATCACATGGTGTAACCATTCCAGATAGATGACCACAGGTCTATACCAGTACTTGCACCATAATAAAGATAACCCTTTTATAGGAGCAGTTTTGGAAGCCTTTTAATTTGGTATATAACGCAGCAGCTTCTGTCACCGCTTGTAGAATGTAGTATTCAGACAGATGTCTCGCATGTGTCTTGCAAAACCTGGAATATCTGAAAAACTGAAACATTGTTGGAACATACACAACACAAGCAGTGATCACACAACTTCCTTTCTCTTTGTTTCCTGTCAGTTTGCAAAAGGACTATAAGAAACAGATGCTAATGGCGGCTCACGCCCTGGCAGTGGACGCCAAGAACCTGCTGGATGTCATTGACCAATCACGGCTGAAGATGATCACCCAGCCCCGCCCACATTAGCCCAGCAGCCATTGAAGCACAGGTGCATGCAGCGGCCTGGATATTTCCCGTTTATGTTGATAAAAGCACATTGGAAGAGAGCATGAGTGATGATAGGATGAAATCTGCTGATGGACGACCAACGTGACTGACAGAAACAATCAGCGCTTCTCTACTCCTTCAGAACTTCTTTTTCTCTCCAGAGTCATCACTAAGTCGGTTTTGTGTTCATGTGATCTTTTGTTGCATTTTTGTTTGTTTTTGTATTCAGAGGGGAAAAAAACGTATTTCTTTCTCACATGGTATATTCTGAAAACCCTCAACTTCAACTTTTTAGTAAAGTGAACAGATATATCAGAGTTTATCGGCGTTGGCAGGACTTCACTAATGTTGTGAAGAAAGGACACGACGATGAAAGACTCTGCTCCAGGCAGGATGTTACAACTGGAACTGAAGAGCCAGAAAAAAAGAGGAAAATGAAGTTGATGTCCAAATGTCTGAACATGTTTTTATATCAGTATTAATTCTGACTGTTTTCAGCCTCAACTCTTCCTTTTCAGTCTTCCTTTGTACAGAATCAGCAAATGGTGACTGACAGTGAAGCTGCTCATGCAGTACATGACTTTTTTGTCCTCCTACATATATATCTCTCTATCTCAGGCATCAAAACACGGTAAAAAGGTAATATGTCAGCTGAACCTGACATAAAACAAACATAAATATCTTCTTATGAACATTATGAAAAACCGCCACAGGACACTTTCTAAGTTAACTACATAGTTAATATACAAAGAAGCTTTATTTTTTAACACATTTCTGAGACACCAGTTCGACTGAATAAAGGAGGTGGATAAACATTGGATGGAGGGGTGAAGGAGGTGGTGGGAGGGTCACTCTTAAGCTATCATGGAGATGCTAATCTAAATATTGAAACTGCATGATTTCAGTGAAAATAAAAAAGTCAAAATGCTGCTTTTAGCATGAATCTAATGTAGAATTCATATCAGCAGCTTGGTTGCTACATTGACATGCTTCATATCAGCAGCTTGGTTGCTACATTCATTTCATTTGATGACATTTGTGTGATTTCGACATCTTCAAGATTATTTCCTAAAACCTGATTATGTTCAGACTTGTCGATTTTTACCAGGCCAGCTGCACTAATTGATTCCTGTGTGGCTGCACTTAAGAGCCAAGAACAGTATAACATGAATTTTGTTCAACTTTTGGCAGAAATAGCACACAGACCCCATGGTTACAGGGTTTACGATTAAGTGTCTCTCCATCCTTATTCTCCTACTCGTACCCTCTTCTTCTGTGTCAGAATATATTTATTACTTTTAATTTCCGCTCTGCCACCTTTGACTTCCGTTCTCTGGCTTCCTGTCCTCCCTCTAGTGCTAGTTCTCTCTCCATTCCACTGTTCCCTCTCCTCTGAGGTAAACAGCATTCTCAGGAAGGAGCCACATGTACAGTTGCTAAACCAAGCAAATAAAACACTGTTTTCATTAAAATAATTCTTTGTTTTTGTCTTTTCATGACATCACTGTCCTAACAGGTAAAGCTGGAAACACCGGAAGTGCTCCCCTGGTTGGACCTTTCGCGTGTTAGGCGAACGTGATAACCACTACACTACGGAAACTCTTAATGAACTGAAAGCTTGTGGCGTTTTTTTTTCAAAATTGACAATATTTATCTTAAAAGTGCCAAAAAT